TTACGTTTACCTTTTCGTTGGTACTACTCGTTAGTTCGTTGTTCGTAGGTCCGTACCTTTTATTTTTTTTTTTTTTTTTTGTTTATATAAGCCCGGCAAATAAAGCTGAGATAGGATTGCAAATAGATATAGAGACAGATAATTGAGTCAAGGGAGCGGTAGTGACGGTAACATAAAGTGTTTGTTTTGTTATCGAGATTGCAAACGTATTGACTGTGGAAATTCTGTATATTATAAAGTTGTATCGAGAAAGAATAAACTATCGCTGAAGTTTCTCGGAAAGAATGTCTACGGGAAATTAACAAACAAATATATATATAGTATATTTAATCAATTTTTGATGAATATTTTCAGTTATTAGATTAAATAACAAAACTGTCCTTTTTTCTGTAACTTCCGACTTTTTTTTAACCTTATTAAATTACTTTCTATTTATATAAATATATATATATATATTTCCAGCCAATTCAGTAGGTATAACCTTTCTCTTTTCTCTATCGATATTTTTATAAGACTATTAATTCTTTGTAGAAGTAGACCCTCGTTCTATGTAACCAAAGATTATATGTTTTAATAATGATCTACAGTGGTTAATTGGATATACATTGTACTAAGTGTTTATTTGGTTGAAATGTGATCTATCGTTGGGCGGATTTTTTAAAAATTATTTGTTAAAAATAATGACAATGTCAGTACACGTAATGATAACGAAATAATTTATTTCTTCCATGAATGAATAACGTTTGTTTCAGGCCAAGTTTACTTGTAGGCCTAACTTCGAATATCAAGGTTCAAATAATGTTTGATTAAAAAACTTCTGAAAACTAACATACGCCTAATTTAATTATATGTTTTAGTCGCGTATATCATAACCCTCATTGCCTACCTGGCACTCAAATATTTATTACTCTTTGACTTCTCACTCATTGATTTTCGTATTTATAATTGAACCTTTTTTCTACATACTACACGAAACTTTTAAATTCTTAACTTAATTGGCAATGATTTGCTTGTATGTTGTTAAGCGCAAAGCTTCATAATGTGCTAAAGTGGAAAAATCAATCAACATTTGTAGCAAATGATTCTTTGTTGTTGCAGTATACATTGTTACGTATCTGCTCGTTTGTTAATTTCCGGTACAAATTGTTTCTGAGGAACTTCAGCGATACAAGTCATTTTTTAATGAAAACTAGTTTATTCTTTCTCAATACAACTTTGTAATACACAGAATTTCTACAGTCACTTTAAAAGTAACAAACTTTATAACACACGCTATAAATCACAGTGATTCACACACTTTACTTACGGAGCCTACTGTTCGTTTTTCTCAATTATCTCTATCTTCAATCTATCTGCATATCTATCTATCTATCTCCGGCTTATATACTAAAAAAAGAGGGCGTCTAGCAAACGCTTGGACATTCGTGAGGTTGCTAGCTAAGTCACGATCCTTCTAGAAACTCAAGCGCACATGCTCCCAGCGTCGTATGACTTCTGCTGTCGTAACACTGCCCCTTCCTTAGTATTGTTTATCCCGAACAATAGCCACTTCCATTAAACCAATAAATAATTAACAATAACTTAATTAAATTTACAGAATTTACAAACACAAAATTACAATACAACAAAGTCTCTTAATTTTACAGGACGTTTCTTCTTTTGTACTGGTCTCCGTCTCATTGGCTTCTGCTTCACGTGGTGTTCATCTACTCCACCAGAAAATGTCCCATTATCAGTAGCAGTCACATCAGTGGTAGTATCTTCATTAATGGCTTCACTGTTTTCCTTCTCTGAATCGGGTAGAGTTTCTTCTTCAACAGTAGCTTTTTCAGGTGACATGTCTTCAGCAGCGTTATTTGTTCCATTATTCACTTCGTCCCAGCTGAAATGATCTGGACCATGATAACGCCAAAGCCTGTTGACATGCACCACCTTTGGCTTACTCGCCGACCACATTTTATTTGGAAAGTCACGTTTGAGAGACAATCCACTGTGTCATATGGGCCTTCCCATAGAGAATACAACTTAGGAGACTTTCCCTTTGGTCTTCCTGGGATTATATAACCACACCTTGTCTCCTGGTACAAAGCTGACT